AGAAATGACTATTTCTCTCCCCAATTTCAGAAAAGCAAATTCAATATTATAGAGAGAATTAAGTATGACAGAATAAACAAGTAAATTCTGTACTTCAAAAGCTGCTTTTCTACTGTTTTGTTCTTTGGCATTAAGTGAGTCAGCAACTATTTTTCTTCGAAAAAATGATACTAATTCTACACTAACACAGAAAGACAGGAAAAGGAGAAAATACACAAATAGAACTAATTTAGCAGTATATGCAAGAATAATGTAATGAACAGTACTAGTGCAAAACTAAAAGCATTTTATTAAAGACTCTAGATAATGCTTACAAGAAGCCCATTATTCTTCCAGAAAATTAATATTCTATGTCTCACTAACAATATCAGCAAATGAACTGTTTTAGTTAAATTAATATTCATGTTAACTGCATGCAAAATCAAGTAATTAAGTAGACCTAAGTTACAATATTCAGGACATATATAAACAGAGTCTGTGATCATTTTTAAGACTAGCCAAGTAAATCATATGGGATTTCTTGTATGAACTTGGCTGGATCTTCAAATCAACAGAGTATGTTCAGACAGAAAATAATTCCAACAAAAAGCTTAAGTAATCCAGGTACATTCTAAATATAAACCAAAAAAGCAGTTTAGTAGGGCTGATGAATTTTCAATTTACAAAAAGAAAAAAAAAATTTTGTAATAAGCAGAATCTTTTCTTCCATTTACCTCCCTATTCTTTGTCTCCATAATGATAATTTCAGCATAGGTTAGAATTCAATAATAATTTTTTTTTTTTTAAAGACGTTTTCTCTTCCCCAGTTGATAAATCTTCACAAAAACGTTAAGGCTGTTTTTGCTTCTTCATTTATGCAACATCATTAAATTTAGATGAAAAGAATCTTTAATGGTGATAACAAGAAAAGGCTAAAGACCATAACATAATTTCTTTGGGCTTTGAAATAACAGTAGTATTTGTTTCTTAATGATCTCATTACTATCATTTTTTTCCTAAAACATCTATCATGACAGTACTAGGTCATCGTACAAAAAATACTTTCCTGTTTCTCAAATTAAATCATATTTGGGACCTAAAATAATAATAAGTGCTTGAAAATATGCCAGGAAAAAAAAAGTCAGAAGCTTTTCTCTAAACATCTCCTAGCAGAAGTGGAAGAAGGGGCAGCGCAAGTAGCCTAACAGCATGACATGGTGCACAGTACTTATTCCTTATTCTGAAAATGCAAATGAAACAACAAAAATAAGAACATTTAACTTGCAAGTCAAAGACTACAAAGGCAATGTCGGAATTTAGACTGCCACTAGAAACACTATTCAGTCAGTCACTATGTATCCATCATGATCTGGGAATACAGAAGAAAAAGAAGACAAATACTAAGAGCAGATGCTGAGGAAGACACAGAGGTAAGTTACACATGGTAAGCCTTCTCACATAAACTTAGTCTCAAACTCCGTTTCAAAGTCTGGAGAGTGCCAAAATATGCCGAATAGGCACTTCCCTACTTTCATCAGTAGTCTCACAGTCATCTGACTGATCCTAAGCCACCTGCTTCCATCCTGGCTATTCCTTAACCCTGACTGCTTATCCCAAACACTTTTGAACTTGTCAGTCACAGGCCTTACTTACTTCATATCAGCTGTCTCCAGCCCAGCCTCTTTTTCCAAGCCTTTCTTTCCAGCCACGTTCTAGTTCTCACTTCCCCAGTACAGCCTCCACTTCATTTTCCCCTTTACCTCCTGCTTAATCTTCCCTTTCAGAAGATTTCTGCCACATTCCCATGCTCATAGCTATAAGATGCTTCCATTGTGGAAGGCATCAAAAGAAGCAGAGCACCTGTCACTGTATTTTCCAGTTTGGCCCATTTGGGCAGATTTTTAGTAAGGAACAGCCGAAGATGTGACCACAGCACACACACCTTACACCACTAAGCCTCACATCTCCAACGAACAGCAGCACTACAACTTTTCAGAAAACAAGCTACAAGAGTTTATTATAGACAAAACAAAGGTTTGACCCTCTTTTGGTTTTGGAGCCTGCTGAAACATTTTAGGTAAAGTTTATTTTGAAAGAAGACAGTTTCAAGTGGGAACATCCTACGAAAAACTAAGCCAAAATATCTACTTTTGACCAAATTATAAGATAATATGACAGGTCTAATGATACTGCTTTACAGAAAAGGAGCAGACCAGATGATTACTTGGAAGCCCTAATTTTCCTTAATTCTGTGATAATAAGTATTTGGCAACCCTGAGAACAGGCTGTCCTGTTTATGATTCACAGCGTGCTCATTAGGGTTGTCCTCCATTAACTGATGCCCTAGTAAGAAGTACTAAAATTTCAAAGTTTCATCTGCAATGGAGGATAGAATTGACTTTTAAGTTTATATGAAATTTTAGTCGGTGTTCCCTACGCAGACAGCACTGACCAATTCCAAAGCAAATGTAAGCTGCGGCTGCAGAACGATACTGTTTTTTCAATACTGGCAAGTCACTCGTAGTCTTGCAGTGTGATCACTGCATACCACCTACTCCCCTACCCCCCAGAGCTTTTGTCATAGTTCATCAGCAATGAATGCAAACAGATGGGTCCACACAGCTTCTCAAAAAAAAATTTAAAAATTAACCACAACAAAATGAGGAAAATCTGCCTTTAACATCGGGATTTCAAGCACACAAACCGTATCTTTGCTGCAAGAGTCTTAGTAAGAACAAAATAAAACAACAAAACACACGTTGCTGAAAAAAAAACCACATTCCCTGTGCTATTCACATTAAACCTTTACCAAGTTGAAATTATACCTCACTGGATAGCTGCAGTTATATCAGAAGCACCAATTAACTATTGTAGGGTAATTTTAAATATTGGGCTAGATAAGTATTTTACAGAGAATAAATTAGCTTTAGGGGAAGGGGAAAAAAAGGTAAGTAAAATTGATTTTACCAGACTTGAACATTTTTTCTTATGGCAGTATATCTCTGATATCTTATCTGCAAGTGAGCTCTGTACATTTCAGAAGAACTCAAAGAATTTCAAGCTGCTGTACTTCAAAACAGCCAGAATCTGTATTCAACTTTGGCAAGTCTTTTCTACCATCTCTTGCCTCTGCAACAAACGTTAAGATAAAAAATTAACTGATCAGAGGTATGTTGAGGATCTTGAATCATTCATGTATGATATGCAAGTACTGCAGTAGTTAAAATTATATTGTTTTAAATTATAACCTTGTTTTATATTTCTAGGTTTTACAGAGTTTTATGAAGTGTAAAATTGCATGCATTAACCTTCTGCCATGTCTACCAGACTTCTGAAAAAGTATTAAAGCAATCTATTTTTAGGAAAGGAAAATAATCCACACAACTCCCAAAAAAAACAAAAGAAAACACACACAAAAAAAATCGAAGCAAGCATGCCTACTTCCTAGTAGCCAAATAAACCTCAGATGAACTAATGAAAGCTTCATATGCGTAAAATGAAAAAATACTAGTGAGGAACATATATCCCACCCAGATTCATGAGCCGACTGAATACACAAGACATAATAAACAACAAAACACTGACTTGAGAGAAATCAATGTAAAAGAGTTGTAGTCGTATCTAATGGCTCTTAAATACATCAGATTTAGTATTTTCCAAGAACTGTTCCATGCCCCGCTAAGCTTGTTGATGTGTATATTATTTAGTACAAACAGACCAAATTCTTTCTATCAATACAAGTGCCACTATGTTACAAGGGATTTTCTGGGTCATCAAGGGCAATTCCCTACTGACAGAGACAACATATCACTGAATCCTTTTCTAAGCCAACCAAACTCCATCATAAAAAAGCATGTTTTTTGTTAAGCCCTCCAGTGCTAAACTGTGAAGTATGATTGCTCGAATTTTGAAGAACCCCCCTCTAAATTCGCTTTAAAGTTTGTGGACTATTTACCTCCATTTATTTCTCTTCCAACACTAGCCTATAGCTTCAAGAGTTCCTTTTTGTCTCAGAATTGCATGTCCCCCTTTTCACCTTATCACCATCTCAACCTCATTCTGCAATGCGTGTCATTATTCATAAGCATACGCACACACACTTTAGTCTCCTTTCAGAAAACTGCTTCTTCAGGCACCCATCATAAGTAGCCCTTCTCCACCATTTTTGTCAACAGCTTCATTTTTTACTTGAACAAGGGATGACTCGGGACTGAAAACAGTATTGCATACCACATTTTATCAATGCTTTTTAAAACATTAGTATCCTCCCTACTTGAAATACAGCTTCTGATGAATTACATACTATTTGCCTTTGCTGTAATTGCAGCACTGTCTCTCCCACCTCCCACTGTAGTTAACCATTAGCCTTCTGAGGAATCAAACGAGAAAGCATCAATATCAAAGATTTAGAAGAGAAATGAACAAGAGAATTTTGTAAAGTACCATACTGAAGGAAAACTGTAATTCCTGCAACATCAACTTTGCATGTGGTATTCCAGGATTGGGCCTAAGCCTATGCAGCTCAACAAAAGTCGAAGTCACAGCGTGGAAGACAAGAGAATCAGAAACCTTTATATAAAAAAACAAACAAACAAAAACAAGTCTGAACTGGCTAAACCTGCTAGTATCTTTAAAGAGTTAAAATGCTTTCAGTGTAAGTTGTTTTTCTCTGGACATGGAGAGCACTGGAATACAATGGAAGTTTTAGACCTCAATTACAACAACCTAAAAGGATTAAGTAAAAAAAAAAATTTATGGCCGTATTTTAGCACTTAAATTCCTTATTGTCATTTTTAGTTGACAAATATCTATTTCATAGCAAAACAACATCATAGGAACAGCTGGATGGCAGTTTTAAGCTCAAATGAGCCAGCATCACATGCTGACAAGTCATCTCTCTGATTGCTTTTGAATGGCAGCACATGCAGATTTATTCTCTGTCATAAATTAGAACAATTATTTCTCTATAGTTCACTTCTTATTTCAGACAGTGAGCCCCTGCACATATTTTTAAAGGATATCTTCCCTTTCCTTGATGATAAGTTCATTCTGTTCCTCTAGCTGTCTGATCTTCTTCTCAAACGACTCCTGTTCAGCTTTCAGCCGTTCTTCTGTCACCTCCTTTTCTTCACTTACCCTGGAAAGAATTTGAGAGAAATAAAATTTATGCCCATAACCACACTGCCTGACTTCCAGCTCCTACGCTTTCCAGGTAAATGGTTATCCCCCTCTCCACCCTTAAACGGGTTAACTCCTCATAATATTTACTATATTACACTGAAAGATGCATATGACTTGATGCAATACATTCGTTTTTCAAAGACACTGGTCTCACTAGAGTACATGCACATTAATGGGCTGCATGGAACAACAAAGTAAGGACCTGAACTCACAATTAGATTTGTGCAGTCTGATTCCCACAGTGCAGCCACAATGAAGACACACTGGGATCCTTACAAGCCTAGGGCATGTAGACAGACAACTCAAATGGGAGAGCTTAGCTGCTTGAGACAGGAAGGGAACTGAAAAACTTTTCTGTTTCTTCATCTATAAACTAATCCTTTTTCACATTTACTGGTCAAATATAAGTCCAGGAAAGGAATAATTTTTCTTGTTAGTTTTCTCCAAACAAAACAGTTTATCCTCTTCTGGGGATTTTAAAATATCAAGCCGCAGGAGTAAATTTTCCTTTCTGTCTAGGCCATGGCACCCCTTATCTTGCTGCTCATTGTAAATAATTGGATCAAGATTAAAAGATGAAAATGTGAAAAAGGTTTACAATGATTATTTATTCTGCATCTCAAGAACAGGCTGTAAAAACAATTATTCTGGTATCACGTAGGCAAGAAGACCATTATGCACAGATGATCCTGTAGCTATGTTAAAAACATGGCTTAGAAATCATGGTTCTAAAAAAGCTCTACAAAAGTTTCAAGTAATGAGCTTAGACTAATAAGTATTATTGCTCTGCACTTAGGCAATTTCTGTTGGTGAAGGCTCTTAAAGTTCAGTCTTTTAAAGTTCAGTCTTTTATGATGATGAAACAGCTGCCACAACACGGATGACAGGAGACCAAAGCAGTACAACATTTGGAAAACTTCAATTTTAACTTCCTTTAAGGGAAGCAAACCTACAGAAAGAGGAAAGGAGTGGAGGGAAAAATGATATATACATCCAATACCTATAGATACATATATATCTATAGACATTGGACTAAGCCTTCCAGTCATCCCATGAGACTTGCTGACATTCTTAACAGAGAATTCCATTCAGGGACTGAGCCATCCATTTGGCATCATGTTTCCCTTAAGAGGGCCCGGATTTGTTTTGATATTCCAGTGCAAAAGCCATAAGTACCACAACTGGGTCACCCCCCTGGTGTGAAATATAGACAGGCAGTATTCCCAAACTCTAAGATCAACCCACAGCCCTTCCCACAACAGCTCGAGCAGACTGCATGAAGTCGGAAATAATTAATAATACTGAAACTCACATCTTTTCTCTACAGACCTGGAGGGAGAAAAATAACATATAGCATATAATCAAATCTGTAAATTAGAGTGGTCTGAAAGCTTGGAACAAACTATTACTTGGAAAGTTTCTAAAGACACAGAAGAAGACTTGGATTTAGCACAAAAACCTTCCACTATTCATATGCCCATGGTCTCATTTACAATCCTGTCCCTGGCAGCATTTGTCAACTCATTCCTAGGCCCCTTTCCCTCCATTGAAAGGCTGTCAAAAGGGGTATGCACACATCAGAAAGTAAACAACGGAAAAAGAGCCATCTGTATTAACTCTGGACCCATCCCAACACCTATGTACTCCTTAGGTAAGCAGGCAACAAACTCTTGAAAATTATCTACTATATATCCTTGCTCCCTGATGCAGTTACAACTACAGTACGAACGCCACAGGGTGCAGACCCAGACTTTTGCATTTGACCACAACTAGTTTGTTTTCTGTGTATCTAGAGCAATCAGAGAAGTGACTACAGCATATATGACCTTTCTTCATGTAATTGGTGAAAGGTAAAAGAATGCTTCCTGTTTCTTAGAGTTAAAAAAAGAAGTAGAGAATAGACAATAAAAACCATCAAACAGAAAAAGACAATGGAGACAGCAATGACCATGCAGATGAAAGATAGGAAGCAAACAAGAACGGAGGTGTGGGGAAGATCAGAATGGAGAGAGAACAGTATCATCTCCAGGGCACTATATAAGGCAGAAAGCTTGCTTACTAACTGCAGCAGTGATGCTGCATTAGAAAAAGGTCTGGGACAACTGAAACGTTGGGCCATTCTGGCACCTAAGATATTCAAATCAAACAACAGTATAAGAAAATAACATAAGGTAAGAAAGACCAGAGCACTACAGAAATTAGACTAAACCTAACTGGTTTTACTCGTCTCTGGATTCTGTGATTTGGTGCTTGTGTCAGTCTGCATCACATTCACGTGCTGTGTTTGTATTTAACACACATCACAGCAAGCTGTCATACTCCCAGACACACGAATACATTGTGCCACATATCTTATGCAGTAAATGACTGAGAACAGTAAGCGATCTTAGAAGAAACATGGCAGCATGAGTTTATGTATCACAAAGGAGGAGACAGCCCATAAAGGGCAGGCAAGATATAGAAGACAGTTACTCACAGGAGGTGGCAAAAGAAAGTTAGAGAAAAGGATACAAGAATGTCATCACATTATGCTGGGTTTATGTCACATCCTATAGATAGCTCAGTGAGATTTTTTAATATACTTATTTCTTTGCCTTCTGGCAGTAAAGAACGGGTGACTTTTAGCAGAACTAGTAAGGACTTCACTGATGCCAAACAGAAACAATACAAGGCTTATAATGCTCCTCAAATGGATTTTGACTTGCTTTTCATCCACTCGTGGTCAGAAAAAAAGCAGTGAAAGAACAAAGGCACTGCAGCTACAAAGGGCACAAGTGCTCTGTTGGGCAACACACTGGTGTCCAGCTTTGTTATCATTGTTTCCAGGAAGAAACAGAGGACAGACAGCAAGGATGACACATCAGTAGAACTATTCCTGCTGTTCAGTGTCTGCAGTATTTCCTTGTGTGCAATTTGCATTCACCTATCTTGTGTCATAGGATACACAGCAATTTTGTTCAAGATTTGTTTTAAACTCCACACTTCAAAGCTTATGTAATTCTAGATGCATTTAAATAATAATTTAATTTTATTTTACAGGACCTTCTGCAGGAAAAGAAAAATTCATAATGCAGACATATTGACAAAAACCCTCCTAGCACATCAGCCTTAGGGTTCAAATTAATTCCTAATTCACGCATTCCAGTTATGGTGTGCTCCCAAGTCCAGCGCTGATAACAGTAGCTCTGACTGCCTGATTTGAATAAGGAATTGATCAATAAGTTCGATAATGACACTGACTCATTCCACTGAGTAAGCAGGATTGATGCTCTCCAGGTGAAATTTTTGAAGCACTGAACAGGTCAACAGCACTTGAAGTCTTATTTGTCTAATGAAAAACTGGCATGCACAAGAAAAAGCCATTGTAATACTTACATCAACACTACACTAGGGACAAAAAAAAAATCTCTTCCTGGGCGAAGGCACTTACCATATTTATAAAAGATACATTTTACTCAAGTATCATGTGCAGTTTGTACAAATTAAAAAATATAACAAAAACCCCAATGATCCCAAAACATAATTGAAATTGCTGCACAATGGATAAATTTTATGATATGCAACCTGCAAAATAATACAAAGGTAGATCTCACAGCATGAATTTATAGCTACAAATGATTTTTTAAGCACATAAAGTGTGATTGGTGACACAATAATCCTAGGCTTGCTTTACCTATCAACAAGAAGTAATTTCCAAACAAGCTTAGTGATACCTCATTTACAGTCTCACTGCCTGACCAATTAAGAGGACTGCAGCACAATATCGCTCCTAGAGTAGCACACAAAAAAACCCACAAGAAAAGATCTTGACATTGAAGTTAAAGCCAAGTAACAATTTGGTTAAACATGAGGTCATGTAACCCAGGAGAGAAGGCAATCCAAGTGGCCAATCACTGCAGATATGTAATGTGGGCTTCCACAGGCAAGTTGTCCTTCAAAGGTCCTAAGTGCTGAAAGAAAAACACAAACAGCAGCTATACGCTACAATAGTTTTACTGTCCTCCTTTGCAATGGGTTCCAGTTCTGTAATCAAATTAACCTTCTGTTTTGATTCCCATTTTCAATTTTTGTTGGAAAATCTCAATTTTAGTTGGTCAATTTCATCTTCATACCAGTATAAAAAGTCTACGTAAAGCAATGCCAGTGGAAAAGACTAGCATCCCAGACTGTAAGCACCCTGCAAACAGTTTAGGAATCCAAGGTCTTGGGAAGGAGGAAGCATTTTCTAAATAAGGGGCAAAGGGCTGTCTGAAGGCTGTTTTGCTTGCCGCCAGGTACAAGTCTTTCTGGGCATGCCACTGGTCTTTGCCAGAAAGACACTAATCTTGATAGCAAAAAGCATTTTGTATCTCCTTTGAAAAGGGCAATCACCCTCTTCCCTTGGGTAGATAAGGGCATTATGATCCCCTTCTACCTAAACTGCTTTTGAAGATTTGTTTGCAAAGACAACAGGGAGCCAGCTCTCTATGTTTATCTTACCTGACTAAAGAAAGAATACAAAGTAGTAAGGTACCAGTTCTTACCACTAAAAGCAAAAATTAAACTTTCATGAACCATTCTATGCCACTTAGTCAATGCCTTTGTTCATTCAAAAGTAAATCCCACATATGAGCTGTGCAGGCAGTGATGAAGTATCTATGACATACACATCACAGTGGAAGCCAGAAAGTCACAGTACAATGGCTATGTATCAGTTGTGAGTGAGATGAATGCTTGCAAGCACACACAGACTCACCCTCTCTGGCAAAGAAACCTATGACCCTCTCTCTTGAGCCAAATTCCAAGACAGAAAGCAGCTCTCAAAATCTTGCATATCACTTAAAATATTTCACTCCAGAATACTCTGTAACCATGCTCTGTAAGGTGTCTAGTAAGTCCTTAATGCTCACAGCCAACTCACTAGGTCCCAGAGGACCTTGCGCTGCTCCCCCTTGGAAGAGGCTAACGTGTCCTGACATTGGCACTGAGTACGAGGGCAGGAACCTTTCGGTGTCTTCACTATGTCACTGCTCATTTCATTACACAAGCTGATGACTGCTTCAGGAGTAGCCTGCAACAATCAAAGCTCAGAGAAAGTCTTTTTTAGCCTCTTAAAAGGACTCTGCTTGTAGGGAGAGCTAATATTTACTCTTACAGTGCATCCACTTTCACCACCATGCCAGCAGCACCTTGCTGAAAACACAAGGGTGCCTTGCCAGTTGTTTTTGAAAATAATGGCTGACCACACTTGAAAATTTCCCATTTACTCACAAACCACTTAGGCATTCATGGGCATGACTCATTCTACTCAGAAATTCCCCTACAAGATTAAAAATTAAAACAATTTTAAAAATGAAAACAAATTTTAAAAGTTCAAATTTACAACTTTCAAGTCTTTAAACTTTGGATCCAGTTTGTCTCTCTTTTCACCTTAAGAGGGAAGACAGGACTGGATATGTTCAAAGAAAGGCAAAATAATGGTTAGATTTACAGTTGTCAGTACAGAGTAAAAACTAACATTATTTAGCCTAGAAAGGAAGATTAGAAAGGATACAGCTAAGTCCTTTCCTTCGACCCTGTCTCAAAATTCAATTTCATAAAGTCCCTAACAGCTAACGTAATGTCAGCCACTGGAATCCCCAGCAGCAGAGCACTGCAGCCCAGTAACTGATCTTTTTTCAAAGGAAAGGATAATAATACAGGTAGCATTAGAATTTACTCACTCCAAGACAAAGTCTGATACTGCAGCATATTAGCTAAAGCACAGGAACACACCTTCCCAGTGTTCAAAACTTCACTGGGAATGAGAGTTGGAGTAAGAGAAGGAAAAATAGGAAGAGAAAGAAAAATACGCTAGCTCTCCTTCAGCAGTTGCAGAAGTCAGGGGAAAGGCCAATATCCTGAACTGCTCAGGCAAGACTTTGTTGAAATTCAAGCCCCAGGAGTTAATTATATTTTGCTACTGGTTTCCACGCAGACAGAATTATACCACTTTACAACTGCCTTGAAGCAGACAGTTATTGACCAATCCACTTCTGTCCACCATCCTGCAATAAACGCACAGGAATTAGTCCCAGCTATCATCATTTTCATCTATAAGTAGCAACAAAATAAGGAACAGTGAAGTATAGCTCGGGTTAAACAAGATCTTTATTATTCCAAGTATTTACGGCAGGACAGTCTTCCTGGAAAACTTTCAGCATTCTGCTGGTTCTTTTTCTTCTCTGAAATAGCAAAGAATGTTCTACTGCATGTAAAAACCTTCCATCATTGAACAACTACAGACGAAAATTATGGAGAGTTTTAAAAAAGTGACAAGGTGAGCGGAATTAAAGTTCAACTTCCCTATTACTCTGCAAAGGACTTTTAATTACATCTAATAAAAATATGATTAGGTTTAAAAATAAAAGAGAACAAAGTATAAAATAATAGTGTTCCACTAATTTTACTTTTCAAAATTAATGTTGCTGCACCTTCTATTTTTCTTCGAAGAAATGTCAGGCAGAAATATCAAACTGTCCTCAGGGAAAAATCACAGCATCTGAGATTTAAGAAGAATCCCATGCTCAAATGAGTTAGTGTACTACTATTCACTAGGGAGCAGTGTATTATGAAGAACAATGTAATAAAAGGCTTTTTTTAATATTAGAATATACCTCTATATATCAACAGTGGCAACAGTGTCCGAATAGCTCCAACATCTTACAATTTGTAACCAGGCTTCCCAGCAATCTACTCTTTATGACAGCCTTAACTAGACATTTTCTAACACATGAGGTAAGATAAAATAGAGTTGCAAGCATGAAGAACCTCAGAAATTACTAAAATACTGTATAGCAAGAAATCCTATATTGGTACAAATTATTAGCAGGCAAAATGGTCCACTGGATGAGGATAATCAGAGAGAAAATATTCCTAGCTGCACCAGAGACTTATTGCATGACCTTGAGCAAGTAACTTCATTTCTCTACCCAAATTTTCGTACATAAAAGAAAAAGGACGGTAATGCTTGCCAACTACTGCACAGACATCTATGGCAAAAAACATTTCATTAATACCTGAGAACTTGCATTTTGTTCTGGAAAAACTTTGCCTTTATAAATTCTTAGTGTGGACACCAACTTTTCAGCTCAAAGGATCCAAGATCATCTCACAAGACTTTCCCCTCTGGTGTTGTGCAAAAGCCTGCCCAGGACCCATGTGGTCCTTCTCAATTTTACAGCCACTGTATAAGAAGCAGATTCCCAGAGATTCTGAAGCGTTAGGGATATAGAAGGGAAAGAAAAATCTCACTCACACTCAACCTGTTTTTCAGATCATTTATCTTCGTGAATGCAACTAGCACTTGAATGAAACTTAGAAAAAACGTTTTGCTAAAGCTGAGAAACTTGCACTATTTCTGTCTTTCCTTTCAAAGAATAGGGAGAACCTAAAGAAATTAATCAAAGCAAAAGAAAGTTTGGCTAGATATGTTAAAATTACACTGGACTCTTTTATTGCTTTACATGTGCAAAAACAGGTAAATACTGATGAACATATTTCAGCCACAAGATCACCAATCCACCTTTCACGTGGCATTCCATGTAAAAGATTACCTCTGATAAACAAGCACCACAAAGTTTCATATCAACAAAGTCTGTCATTTTGAAAAGACAACCTGTGTTTATGTAAAGCACATGATACAAGCAGCAAACAAAACCCTAGCCCTGTGAGTAGGTTTATATGGATGAACTACTGCAGGTCACAAAACTTTGGCTCTTATTTTCAATACATTTAGGAATTTTGAGTCAGGAAGCAAGGAAAAACCGATCAGGCTGCTTCACTGTTCACCCCTCTTCCAGCAAGAAAAATTACCTTATGCAAATATTCAGTTCCATAACGCAGTTCTACATTACTTGATGTTAATTAGAGGAATGACTCTCCTTAAACATAATGCATTTTCAGGTGATGCTTATTCTCACCTGGCAAGTTCTTTAATTAAGTTTGCAATGCGTCTCTTGTCCTCAGGACACAAATCCTTTAAAGAAGCACTCTTCATCCCTCCTTCATTAGTGACCTGAAAATTTAAAGTAACATTTTATAAAGCAGTCTTTAAAGGAGAATAAATATTTCATAAGATATTTAAAGCATTTCAAGACCTAATAATTAGATGTTGAAAGTAGACAAATTCCAACTGGAAATAAAATATGTATTTTTTAAAACGCAAGTACAGTTCAGTTAAACAAATTACCAAATTGTGGAGAATTCTTTTAAAAGGCTTGTAACTCAAACGCAAGCAGCTAGCTTCGATACCAAACATGTTGGGTAAAGTTTTAAAACATACACTATTCATTGGTTCATACTAGATAAAGGGCAGTAGGTTCTCATGACATGGAAACCTAGCACAGCGATATGCAAATCCAAGCTCAAACTTTGTTATGCTAGGATCCTAAAAACAAAGAGCAAGAAAGAAAACATTCCTCCTTAGCGCTTATGACCAAAGCATACAAAAATCATTATCATTAGTAGATGGTAAGTCCTTATTTCAGAGGATTTTTCTAATACACAGAAAAGTACACACCCTTTCACACGTCACTATCGTTTGTCTTTAATCACTTATCTGCGGCCTTCGTACTCCCTACTCCTTCTGTCAGTCCTTTAATGCATTACCACGCCGGGAACGGCAGCATTTGGTCGCAATGCCCACCAGAGGGCATGTCGCAGCCCCTCTTCGCAACAGTCCCTCCTGTCGCTGAGCTGACTTACTGGCGTTACCGATTCGGGGTGTTTCCGAGCAGGAAAGAGTTCTAAGTTCTAAATTGGTTTTACTGGTCGAAAACTTCTGTCATCGGTGACTCAGTTCTCCAGCGCTAGCAATAAGCACAAAATAAGAATCCCAAGACAAAAGCAGCAATAAGAGCCATGCTGTGCTGTCCAAGATTTTGTCCATTTCGAGTAATTTCCACTTAATCTGACTTACTTATTTTCAGTTCAGGCTTTTACAAGCCTACAAATCTTACAAACCTCTCCAAGCACATACAATGCTTAACATGACACACAAGAACACTACCAAATGCCTCGCCGTTTGGCCATGTTAACACCGTACAGCACAGAACGACCTCTGAGCAGACAACACAAACGCTGGGCTCCTCTCCCCTCGTCAGCAGTAACGGCAGCTGACCTACACACACCACTGACAAAGAACCTCCTTCCACTCTTAGCTAACTGCTTCTTCAACGGTAGTTGGAAACAATTACAGGACTATGTCACTTTTGGAAGAGGTGATGATTTCATACAGACTCATACCCACCTGGCCCTCAGTACACTCTCAACCTCAATGTATTTCACGGGGCGGGGGAGGAATGGAGTTTAACAAGACAAATCAGGCTTCAGCCCTGTTCAAGGGGACATTTGATTTCATGGTTTCCTTACCAAACATATGCGATTTACAGTCACACAAATGAAGAGACAATCTCTTCAGCTTCACTGAATTTAACTTCAACTAAACATATGGCTGAAGGATTTCCATTTCCCATGCTAAAAACATCTGGAAATCATTGTGCTTTTTTAAGCACATAGATGATACAATTTCTTTAAGAAAAACTAAAATTACAGGACTTTTTCACTCAAAGAGGCATAACCTTGATCGCATTAATAAAGGAGATTTTAACAGAAAGTACCTCAAACTATTACCCAAACCTTTGCACATACTGTCAGATAAACATGTAGGATAAAGAGGAAAATATGAAAAGTTAGTCTGTGCTTTTCTATATCACCCACAGGTATGGATATATGGCGCACAAAAAATTCTCAAAGGCAGGCTTGTACCATAACACATGTCAAAATGAAGCTGTGGAATTATGCACAGCAACAGCTCCCTCATCAAAACAAGATGACAAATAAAATAGAGACCAAGACTGTTATACTCTGCTTTTTCCATCTGTCTTTCTTTTCTACACACCTCAGGGTAGAATACAGTTTCGTACCTCAGTATTTTCTGGATGAAATGTACTACATATATCGCATATTAATCACAGAATGTTCAGAGTTGGAAGGGACCTCTGTGGGTCATGTAGTCCAACTCCCCTGCCGAAGCAGGATCACCTACAGCAGGCTGCACAGGACCTTGTCCAGGCGGGTCTTGAATATCTCCAGAGAAGGAGACTCGACCACCTCCCTGGGCAGCCTGTTCCAGTGCTCCGTCACCCTCAG